TCTCTCTCTCTCTCTCAATCTGTCATCCTTTCCAATGTAATTTGGTGACTTTGTGTTCACATTGCCGCTCCTTCCTCTGCTTCAGTAGCTGTCTAAAGCCGAATGTTGACAACTGTCTTTTTTTGTACTTCTCTTGTACTGACAATCCCTGTCTTACTCCAACTAGTATTTATTTCATTCTGTCAATCAGAATAGAGAAGTATAAAAAGGCCTGTCATTGTGGTATCCCTCATAATAATATCTCGTCGCGCCTATAAAGAAAACCCCAGATTAAGGTCACAGTTGCGGCGTTGCTTACACTCTACGATCGTAGATCTCATTCTGACACTATTAGCGGGTAAAGATTCACGCCAGACGCAATTTGGATGCAAGTTAATGGAACACTAGAGATTTAATTATGATTGATAAAAGAACGATCTGCCTTTTAATAACCAGTGGGCATTGAAAATATAAGCTCCAAGTTTCCTCTGCGTTCTTGAAGTAATTCGTTGGGGCGCATAATTAGCAGGTAGCGGTGGAATACAGGCTATAATCTGTGCCATCTTTCTGCTTGTCTGGACTTCAATGGCGCTGGAACTGTGAGAACTCTCAGCTGAGTGAAGAAAGGAAGAAGAAAAGATGACAACATAATAGAAAACGCGGGGGAAAAAAGAGGAGGGAGGGAAACATGTTAGCGACCCCCTTTTGTAGTTTATTTCCTTTTGCCTAGTCAGCTGTCTCATCATGTGGAGATAGTCTTCTGTTGTCCAGATAGAATAGAAAGTAGAAAATTTGGCTCCTGGGTACGAGACAATATTTTTTCTTGGCCATTCATCTTGGGGACTTAAGCGATGGTCTATTGCATTTCATGGATTGATTGTGACGTTGCTTCTTGATGGAGAATAGTATTTAAGGACCTTACGTTGAGAAAGGTATGTGGTTGCTCTCTGGTATAATTTCAAATTTTATTTCCCTGAAAACTACAGCACGGTCTGAGTTTTTTAAACAAACTAGGGAGAAAAAAAACTTCGGTTATAATTACTTTATTCCGTTAAAACTTTTAGTAAGAGTTTTACGGCACTTGCTACACAATAAGGTCATATAAGTGCCAAAGATTGGAGGTGTTACAAGAGAGTAACAAACATAAGAAAGAAGGAGGGGGAGATCAGGACGATAGATGTTTGATAGGAAAGAAGGAGCAAACCACACCAGAGCACCCCCCACCGCCACGTCAAAACTTTGCTCTCAGGCTAGGCGTTGCTGTGTGACTTTCTATGATTGTATGACGAATATTCCGAACATTGTGCCGTCATGGTTCATTATTTCAAACGTGAAGTCAACTAGTTGTTATACTTAAATGCGTTTTGTGATGTAAAATTACACCGCATCCTTGACGTTATAGCTTATGACAAAAGCACCCCACACCCATACCAACACCTAAATATGGGCAAGTACGCACATATTAGACATTTTATACATTCAACCGTACACAAACGGACAGATAAACACACTCACACGAACACACACACACACACACACACACACACACACACACACACACACACACACACACACACGACATGCACATACACCCACAAACACAAAAAAATCACACACACTGAAATTATATAATTATAATGCTTGCTTACATGTTTCTCATAACACATAAACACACAGACATTCACATTATGGAAGTTCGCGAACGCATACACAAACACTCTTGCACACTCACAATGGCAAACCCCAGTTCTACCCCCACTCTATTACTGCCAACTTTTATCATCAGTAGAAAGTCTCCACCCATTTTGTAACACACATCAACTTCCAAGTCTGGTCATCAAATTCCGCAGTTACCTACAGAAGAAACAAGTTTTAAACATAATCCCAAAGTCATCCTGACCACAGACTTAGTATCTTGGTGTGTTTTCGATCGTGCCCACGACGCAAGATCTTTGTCAACAAACGCTTTTGTGTACGGAGAATGGGTTTCCAGTGCGAAATGTTTGCTCAGCGCCGGGCAGAGCGCTTCTGAATTTATGGCGTTTCACAGTAGCTTGAAGTGTATTTTGTTAGAACTGAGGGGAGAAGGGGAGGGTGGTGTCGTTTATGGTTTTGGATATTATTTTGGTAAAGGCGCAATATTATAGCTTTACGCATCGTGGAACCTCTTGTGGCGAGACATCCCTGCTGCGCTTTTTGCTTACTGCAGATGTGAGTCGGATCGACCCTCGGTTTGGTCACATAAAAAGAACAACAGCGCAACGAAAATTTCTTGAGAGCTGTTGTAAATGGTTTTACAGCTATACTGAGAATGTCTTGAAAGTAGC